TTGAGACAGGTCAGTGTTTAACTTCTCAATTTCCGTTTCTTCACACGTGAGCTAACGTTGTACGAATGGGAGTACAGAGAGCTGATTTGTTGGTGTACGGCAAGACATATAACGGAAACTTCGCCGCGTATTACGAGAAGGCTTCGCAGCCATTTGTTCAGAGTGGAGATGTTGAGCGACCTCACTAAGAAAATTGCTTGACTGTTTTGAAGTTTCGCTCCATTATAAGGTCAGGTAGAAAAACACAGGAAACACCGGCAGCTGAAGAGAGTGTTCGGAGTATACGTTTAATAATGAATAGGCCTTTTCCGAGTACAGCTGTAAAAATTAACTGGAGAGCAGTAAAGAATGAGGGGAGAATGCAAGCATCTATAAATCGCCAGATTAGTGCTTGCGGTGTGCAATATGAACACAAGCGGAGGATACAATATAAAGGTTTAGGGATTTTAATAAAAATACCATTTATTTGAAAAGTAAATGACAACTTAGATGACTGAGTAATAACAAGGTACCGAAAAGAGGATAATTCGTTGGACAAAATGTCAATGGCTTCAAGACTGGGAGAGGGTCGCAGTCGAAAAATACATTGGACTGACGTCTGCTCGTTAAGTAGAAGGCCATTTACTGACGACGATGCTGAGACGAGGTTCATGCCATCCTTCAGTACTTGTAGATGGATCTGACTTTTGAGAGGATGGCCAACAACAATATCATCAGCATATTTAACGAACAAGCATTCGTTTGGCGATCGAACATAGATCGTCAGTGTGGAGGGAGAACAGATGAGGGGATAATAGAGACCCTTGAAGAACTCCACGGGTGTTGGGAAGGACCGTGGATTTTCACTTTCCGCACTGGAAGAATGGAGTGTGGAAAGTGAAATAGTCCCCACGCCAAGAGACAGCCCAGCCGAGAGAGCCGCATGCAGAAGGTTTCGTAAGAGGAAGTTGATAGGCGAATTTATTAGAAGCTTAGATATCTTGGATGTGGGTACATGGTGAGGGGGTAGGTAGTTGTCGCAGCACGTCAGTTCAAGATAATTAATTTTCATGAGAGCCTGTGAGACGTGGTTAAAGGAGGGGGGAGGAGTTGGCCGAGGACGGAGTAGCAGTCAGTCCCAAGGGGAGCGAGGAGGCTTGAGAGGCGATGACTTTATCGATCATTACCACATCAACGCGAATTTTATCACGTGATCCAACTGCTTACAGAGTTCCGGTTATCTTCTACGTATTGCAGCGGCCTCCGCGAATCGTAGGACACTAAGTAATAGGCAATGACAGTTTGCAGTTGAATAAGAGGTCGCAAAATTATATTAGGTCGATAAATTCTGCTAATCTTGCGATATTCATCTTCTACAAATTTCTTCCGGGAAAACAATGTTCCAATTTAATGGCAAATATTTTAAAGTTGCGAACATTCCCATTAGATAATTCAGAACAACACTCGACAACTAATTTAATTGATTAAGTTTTTCTAATGCTTTGGTGAAATGTGAGTGTCCCCAAATGAGAAAATTTGCCCTTTTTCAGTGAAATTGAATGTCATGTCCAGGTCAGGCAATAACCGCTCGTTTAGTCTATTTGGATGGTAGCCCATTTTGTAGACGCCTGCGATTGCTTGTTCCAGAGGCCGTATGCATGCACCTTCCGGCGGCTCGAGAACCTCAGACACGTTGTAGGAGTCAGAGGCAAACGGCCCATACGTAATGTAGGCGCTACAGTCATATCATAGTTCAATACGGGGAGTCAATGTAATCAGTTGTTCGTGCAAAACGGCTGAAATAAATGGCCCAAAATAGGACCTTTGACTATTGGCCTCACTGATTGAACCATGAATTTTAACATTACTTTTCAATGCACTTACAAACCCAACTATGTTTTAAGGAAAACAGGCATAAAAAAATTCCTTCTTGTATTTGGTAGCAAATTACGATCACTTCTTGAGATTTTACAATTAAAGGAGCGTTTCTCACTATAAGTCTTTGTAGGACCGTGAAGATATCCATTCATAGGACATCGTAACTTTATCTTCACTAATGTTGTTTTCAAAGTGTACGTTATGCTTATAGCATAGTATACTATGACACGACAGTTGTTGGAAAAGCGTTCTACTGAAATGTTGCGTGTAGTTTTCCCATTATCAATGTCTAAATTTAGATGGCCACAGGAGAAATCCCTACTGAAAAAATGCATCCTCCTTAAGTAACTTTTTTATAGGGTATACTTTCACAGGTGGCCGGGAAGAAGTTTGTCTCAAAACTGGCATCCTGGTGGGACTGAACTATCATCGGATTAAGCTGCATCATAATCCGTATAACAAGCCTGCTTAAATGCTGCATGCATACGATAAACAACAATCGGTTTGAGTCGCTGGACTTCAAACATCACAGACCGAAATTCTGAGCGCGGTATGTGGATTACACCTTCGTCGTCATCGAACGGGATCAGGTGCTCACGTTCAAGGAACGTCTCAACAGCATCTTCCCAGACATCCAATTTACGATGGAGCAGGAAGAGAACAACCAGCTGGCCTTTTTTAATGTCCTCGTCTGTCGCAAAGATTGTGGTGGCCTAAAGACTAAATTATTCAGGAAAGCGACAAACACGATGCAAGTACTTAATTACAAAAGCAACCACCCAATCAGCCACAAAGGCAGTTGCGTAAGGACGCTCTATCGGCGTGTTGAGACGCACTGCAGCGAACCAGAATACAAAGTTACTGAAGCACAATATCTAAGATGGGTGTTCAGAGGAAATGGCTACCCGCGCAACTTCGTCAACCGGTGCTCGCGCAAACGAGATAGCTAACAAAGGCGCACCGACCCCAAAATTTGGCGAGCGATTCCATACGTCAAAAACGTCTCGGAAGCTGTCGGCCGCCTTCTCGCACCACTTGGAGTTGGAGTCGCACGCAGGCCGAAGGCAACCATTAGGCGTCAGATAATGAAACCGAAAGACCCACTGCCACGGCAAGAAACATCTGAGGTCGTCTAAATGATCTGGTGCAATTGCGGGCAAAGCAAATATGTTGGAGAAACTGACAGACTTCTCAAGACGCGAATTACCGAACCTACGGCAGCAGTGCGGCGAAATGATGCCAATTCTCAAGTTGCTGCTTATTCGACGAGACCTGGTCACATATTCAAATTTGATGCGGCCGAAATTTTCGCAAGAGGTGACAATCGGATGAGCCGTGAAATGCTTGAGTCATTGTTCACGGACCCCGAATCCATAAACAAGTGCAATGATTTGCCCAATCCATATTTGGTGCTGAGACTCAATTTGGCCAAAGCAAGTC